TCTGAGTGAGAAGAAGAAAAAAAAAAAAAAAACAGGACTTGGGGGGGGCCTGCACCAGAGAAAACTGTTCTCATTAGGGACGTCTCCCTAAGTTTGAGCTTCCTTATGGTCCAGAAAACCCGTCTCTCACCTTGCTTTGCCAAGGGTGTTTCTGGTCCCCTTTGGCAAAGTGCTAGGGTCTCAGTTTGCCCTGTGCCAGAGACCCTGGGAGGATTCAGACTTAAGGGCCTTACTGCTTTCCTCCCTGCCACTAAAACCCACAGCAAAAGCGAATCACCCACTCTTCTTGTTGCCTTTTGCTCCATAGACTAAAGGAATCTCCTGAGGGTAAGGGATATTTACTGGTTGTAAGGCATATAGTGCTTTCTATCGGAGCAACTACTGGAAGACTTGATTCTAAAAATGCCTTCCTCTGGCAGCTTAAAGAGAACACAGCACATTCTAAACATCGGAGTGGTAATGGAAGATTTTAAAACAGACTAGTGAAAGTTACCTATGTGCATAAGGGAACCTGGGCACCTTTTTACTAATTATCCCATGTCTTTCTCGGTCCAACCTGAATTGCTAGCGTTTCTGACCAGCGAAGAAAGGAGAGCATCCAGGAGGGGATGGATGCGGGTTCAGGAGTGTTACACGGAGGCAAATGTAATTGGGGCTTTCCCTCAGTGCCATTCATCTACTGATCACCCTAGATACCCCTTAGGGCTGTCGGGAGGGGGTTCAAGAGAAAGGAACCTTAGGAATACATCTGAGTGTAGCCCAGACCAGAATTCCACAGTTGTTCCAAACTCCCTTCTCCACCTCCATGCAGCCAAGGCAGATCGGGATTAGGGACATCAGGATTAGGGACACTGTGTACTCACGCCAACTGCTCTCCAGGCCCAGACAGAAAAGTGGGAAGCGGCTTTGGCAGAACCCAACATGCCTGCTCTGTATGGAACAGGTGATTGAGAGCTGCCTAGGTCGGGAAACCTCTCACCCGAGTCTTGAAGAGTGGCGGCTCCACTAGTTGCATTTAAGTATTCGTCGGGTGCCCACATCACCTTCCAGAAAGAAAGAGAGAGAAAGATGCACCTCAGACAGACATGGGGTGCGTGGAGAGGTGCTTACCTTGGTGTAGATCTCGGTGGGGAACCGCCAATCTGTTACCGCTGTTTACCGGTGACTGATGAGTCCTTGCTTCCCCAATGCTGAAGTATAACACCAGAGAAACACTCTGAGGCATGTTTAGAGTGAGAAGGTAGAAGCTTTATTAAAGGACAGTAGAAAAGACTTCAGGGAGGAAGAAGGGGACCCAAGAGGGGGAATCCATGGAAGGGGGAGATCTTCTCTCTTATAGCTAAGGCCTACTTTCCCACATTCCTGTCCTTTGTTCTGTTATCTTGCAGTGATGAAATATAGGTGGGAAGGCCCAAAGGGTGAGGGACGGGGGCCACAGGAGTAATCTGGGCAGGAAGGGCTTTTGGATTAGCATCTTCATGTTTGCTGGGAGCTGCTTCATTAACATTTCCTTGGGATGGGCTCCATCTTCATCTTACTCCCTATGTACCTAACTACACTAACTACTTATCTTTAAATCTGGCTTCATTATCATTTTCTGAAATAATCACTTATATTTATTTTATTGATATATTTCATTTTTAAATTAATGATAGATTTTACCACTCTTTATTGTCCTGTAGTGAATGGGACTTTATTTTTTCTGATAACCATTATGTACAAAGCTCAAAAACATGCTCAATACATAG